GGTACAGTATATACCCATTTCCCCATTACACATCATGACCCAATTCTCTCTCCTATAACTAACTTCCCAAGAGTTACCGGAATACCCTTTTCTCAAGATAATAACAGAATCGAAATAATGACAGCAAGGATATCAGTATATCAGTATATAACATAACGACATGTATCAAAGTTTTTTTTTCAAAATTGACTTTTTGATTATAATGAAATTTTTTTATTTAATGTCTCTTGATTAGTAACGGACAACTTGAACAAAAAAAATATCTCTGTTTCTATTTTCTAATCAATTAACTGAATTGATATGTGTTGGCAAAAAAAAAAAAAGAATTGATATGTGAAAGAATATAAGTAGTGTGCATTGTAATTGTTGACACCTAACCCTGTGACAGTCATTTGTAATGCAAAACTGCAAATAGAGATGTAATTTTTGGTTGTTTTTGTGACGAATTAATCACACTAATTAAATCACTTTTCAAGAAACTATAATGAAAATGAAACAATTAATTCAAGCTTGTACAAGTGGTATGTAAGTTGTCCTTGTAAGTGGAAGGTCATGGGTTTAACTCCGTTTGTAACTTTAGGACGTCAATTTAAAAAAATAAAACTAAAGCAAATATTGTTACCAAATTGACACAACACAACACCTTGCAGGATGAAAAACTCCTTACAGCATATTTGGCTAGGCTGTTGCCGTTCTTCGGAAACCAACAAATTCTGTCGGGAAATTTTTAAAAAGAAAAAACTTATGTCAAGTTTTTTTAAATCATTATGTGTATTGTTCCAATTAGATTCTGTAATATTGACATGCTATTTTATTAACTTCAATGCCTTCTTTTCGAAATTTCTTGCAATGTAATATATGGGTGTGTGTACAGTGGTAGAGAAATATCATAAAAAATAAAAAATACTTAATTAAAAAAATATTACAGTTTTTTTTTTAAATATGAGAGCCCAATAAAACGCGCGAAAAACCCTCATTATTATATCATCTTCCATCTCCGGCCACATGCTTCGACAGTCCGACAACCCCTTCTTCTTGATATTATTGTCCTCTTCGAACACCTAGCAGCCACCGCCGGCTCCTCTTTTTAAAATCGCATGTCCTCTTCCATCTCAATAATTATTTTACCTGTAAAGAAAAACTCCTTTGTTTCATATTTGTTAATCCCATCATCAGTCTTCTTTCTACGAAGAAAATTTTGGGGATTGTTCACTACTAGCCGCATTTGAAGGGAAGGAAGAAGATTACAAATATAAAACAAACTACAGACCTTCATGGCATAATCCAAAAGAAAACATAACAGAAATGAAAAATATTGGAGATACTGATAAATTAGAAGCAACAACGCGTAAACGGGAAGAAATTGCTGGAGGGGAAGTGCCAAATGAGATTGGGATATTGAAAAAACAGCAAGGCTATTTTTGTTTGGCAAATTATTTCTCTCCCCTCCAAGAACCGCCGATTTGGGAGGGAAGAGAGATGAGGGAGAGAGGAAAAGGACAGAATTTTTTAATTTCCTTCCCCCTTTTACAAACCACACTCACCTCTTCCCTTTTTCTCCTCTTCCCTTAAAAAAAAACCCAACCACACACTGCCTCAAAAATAGAATGAAGAGACTTATCACAGAGCAAAAAAGTGGGGAGAGCATTTGAGACGGGTTTGTACACACGGGGATTATCGGAGGTTTGATGGGGGCAGTGGAGTATTTTAAAATTTATATTTTACTATATGATATTTTGAAATGAGGAAAAAACTTAGGTTAAATTTTTAAAATTCATTATACCAAATTCTTCAATCATATATGACCTTGTGTCTTTTTTTTTTGTTTCATGTATATTTATAATTAAACCTTAATATTTCAAAGAAAAGGACACATGTTCTGTGCGATCAGAGAACTTAATATAATGATATAAAGAACTTGATGTAAGTATTGTGCTTTAAATAATTATAATTTTTAATATTTTTTCTTATAAATATTATTTTGTCTAGCTCTTTTATGCTACTTTTAAAATTCATTCAGTATTTTGAACTACTTTTCTCAATGCATCCAATGTTCTAAGATATTTAGTACTACTTCCTGTTTTTAATATAAGATTTCGTTTGATTTTTATTTTGATCTTAAATATAAGAGTCCAATCCACTTTATTTCTCATATTTATCTATTTTTTTAATATAGTCTTTCTAATAATGGTAGTTTTAAGCAATAAACTTGATTAGTAAGGATATTTATTTTATAATAAACTAACTTAATTTATTTTTTTAATCTACTCAAATTAGTTAACTAGCTCTTATATTTAGGATCGGAAGTAATAATTTTTCAGCACCCTAAAATATTTTTTTTTTAATGTGCATCCAATTTCATATATCTAAATCCTAAATTCTAAATTAGGGTGCTTAATGCAGCTAATACTTTAAGTTATTGGATGAAAACAAAATACTTTTGAGTGCTGATAATAAAGTCATTTAAAAAATATTTTAGGATATTGAATAAAAAATATATAGACTATTGAGCGCACTTAAAAAATAGGGTTAACATAAATTTTGGTTCCTCAAATTTGGAGCCATTTTGATATTGGTCCCCGAAATTTAAAACCCATGGTATTGGTCTCTCAAATTGTATACATTTCTGGCCGTTGGTCCTTGGTAGCATTAGGCCGTCAAAATCATCTAAGTTGGCACTAACTCTGTTATATTGATGATGTGTACATAGAAGCTGGCGTGTATGTGGATCTTATATGGAAAAAAGAAAAAAATAGATAAATGCATGTTTTAAAACACAGCGCAAATCCAAGGGAAATAAGTTACCTGAAGAAATTGACGCACTAGTCATTGAGAAAGAAAAGGGGAAGGGGTTAGGGACTTAGGGTTGAAGGGAAGGTCGTCGATGACGATAAGAAAGATCCGACACCCACAGATAAGGTGATTGAGGAGAAAGATTCAGCAAAGGAATTTAAGATAGGACGAAGGCAACAAAGATTCGGCAATTACAGGGAAGGGTGATTGGTATTTGGTAAATTGGTGGTATAAGTTTTTAATTTTCTGCAACATCTCTCCTATCCCATCTTCTACTTATCTTCAACATCGGATTCAATGTAGGCTGTAGTGAGGTGGAATGGCTTCTAGTAGGAATTCGTCAAACAGATGGCAAAAAGAGGGTTTGAAAAATGCAAATGCGGGGATGATGTTGTAGTTTTCACTTCATGGACTGAACAAAATTATGGTAGAAGATTTCTTAAGTGCCCAAATAACAAGGTTTGTGGTTGATAATTTTTTCCTGTCGAATTTGATTGAGTTTCTAGATTGATGAATTTCTGTTTTTGTTTAATGGCTTGATTGGCTTCTGGATTTGCTTGGCTTTTAGGAGTAATGGTCATGTAATTATTTTGATTGGATCGATGCATCGGTTGAGAATCCAAAGTTAGAGGAGTTAAAGAAGATGAAGAAAGACATATCATTTTTTCTTGAATATATTTGAATATATATTAGAGAACTGGTCTTCTCGAATACATATTCAAGAATTGGTCTTCTCAAATACATATTCGAGAACTAGTCTTTGGTCTTTCTTCTTCATATATCCGATCAATTTCTTCTTCATCACTTGACTTTTCCCCTTCAACAATTTCTTCAGACTCATGATCAGATAACAAGCTTAATATATTTTCCTCCCTTACTTCAAACCATGTTATTTTGCCCTGTCTCATACGGTTCTTGTCTCATACATCTGACACATCACTTACTCCCACATCAACGTATTCTGAGAAATAATCATCCTCAATATACTCCTCTTTGTTGTTCTGAAGGTTTGAGAAATCAGATCTTGAGTTCGTTTTACTCCCTCCCTCTCCACTACTTTCACAACTCTCACTTCTCTCTTTCTCTCCATCCATATTTAACTTGTAGAGCAAAATAATAATCTAAAATAGAACACATGAACCAGAGCAACACAGCACATAAATAATCAATGCCATTCCAGTTGATTATGCAGAAAACAAAGCATACATTGTCAACAAAGCAAAAAAACCCATCATATTGATCTACAATAACACAATCAAAGCTCAAAGCAATAGGTTAATGCTCCAAAATACAACCAAATGAAATAAAAATTCATCTAATCATCATACCGATGTCTTCCCATTCAAGAAATGAGAACAGAGCATGCTTGAATACACAACATGCAAGAATGGCAACATCAAACGACTTAATAGGTAAAGATCAAATGCACCGCACTTCTCAAGTATATAGCAATCAAACAAAAAATTAACAAAAAACAAAGATGCAAAGCTCACTAAAACAATATCATGGCTTTAACAAGCATAACTCGGTGACAAATCAACATTTGTTTCTCACATTGCACGAGTTACTATCAGAATGTATTAACATATACGATAGATTCTCACCTTTCAACCAGCAAAACTTGCCAAAATTACTGTTACCGTTTTTTCCCTCGACTGTCGTAGATAAATCACGTTCCTTCGGTGACAGACATATCACAGTTCTTCGGCGCTTTTTTTTTTCTCCCATTGTTTATATGTACATGTCAGCAAGCCACATTATCAAACTATTGTCCACCTCATTCTCTTAAGTCAAATGCCACATCATAAGTTAACAAAGTTAGTTCCAACTCAGATGATTTTGACGGCCTGAAACTACCAGGGACCAACGGCCAGAAACACATACAATTTGAAGGACCAATACTATAGGTTTTAAATTTCAAGGACCAATACTAAAATGGACCCAAATTTGAGGGACCCAAATTTATATTAACCCTAAAAAACAATATTTTAATTCTAATTTTTCCTAAAATTATGTTTTTAAAAAGATTGTTTTTTTGGTGAAAATTAAAAAACTATTTTTTTAAAAAAAATTAATATTAACACAATATGTTTCATGGAGTTATTTTTGTAAAATATGAAGAGTCGAAAACCATAATTCCATATTTCCATGTTATCCCCTATGCTATCCGTATTCTGTATTCGCTCCAAGGGCGACCAGACTCGACTGAGCAAACGCCCTCACACTGCGACTGCGAGAGTGCAAGGAACCTTATCTCTCATAAAGCCTCGCTTGAGTCTCACTCTGATAATTGAGGGGTTGTTGATTTTGAGCTTCTGGCAAAATGGTGAAGAGTAAGAAGCAACTATTGTCTTCAGCTCCATGGAGGGGCGAAGAAGATGATAAACCACAATTTCCAGACGCAAAGCTCAAAGTTACCAATCAACCCGGCGCCACTCCAACTATGCACGTCCCTAGCAAGAAGCCTAAGCGTGATAACGACTTCGATGACGACGATGAATCCCTTGAGCTTGATCCGGAGCTACGCTACAGCTTTCAGCGCAATTTCAAGGTTCCCCTTGGCCTAACTTATTTGGATAAACATTATTTTCTTTGAACGATTCTGGGTTTCATACCCATATCTTCTTTTCTCTTATTGTTTAAATTAATTGTCCATTGCTAGCATAGTTATCATGCTGTCCATTTACAGGACAAGATTGTTCTATTAGTTTTACCGTTGCTTACTAAATCATCGCTTCCCGTATGATTTGTACAAATTCATTAACTTTTTTTTTTCTGCCTTGTAACTTGTGAAAGCTCGCTGGTTTAGTGGTATTTAGGGATCATTTTGCAGTTTGCTCTGTATTCGCGTTTTGTGTAATTTGTACCCTTAGTTAAATTACTGACAATTGATATTTATTGTTCATCTGAAGAAAACTCTTCATGAATATATATTTTTCAATTAGCATCTCGAGTCAATTATCCTGTGCTTGCATAGCTATCCTGCTCTGTCCATTTTCAGATGGTTCTTGCTTGGTGCTCATGTATTTATCGAATGATATTGTTCCGTTAGTTCTCCCATTGGTTTTTCGTGGTGGTATTTGTTTATTTTGATGAACCGAATTATTTCTTCCTGAATGATTTTCACAAGTTCATTAATTTGTGTCTCTACCTTTATAGATAACTTGTGAAAGCTTGATGGTTAGGTGGTATTTTGGAATATTTCGCTGGTTTCATCTTTTCTATTATCGCTTTGGATTGTCTGGAGTCTGTACTCTTAAATAGGTTACTGAAAAATTAATTTATTTTCTTCTGTAGACAACTTTTCATTTATCTAGATATAAGTTACTTCCCTTGCTTTATATTAACAAAGCTTGGAAAGCAAACCGATCTTCACTTGGGAATTTTATATCAGCACTTGATATTTGGTTTAGACTTAAGTGGCTATAAGTATTTTTTTATTCAAGGCAACCTTTTCTTTTCTTTTATCTTTTCCGGTTATAACTTAGTCTATATTATAATGAACAATTAGTTTTGAGGGGGTGACAACTTAGTTTCCTCAGAGCTAGACATGCGGTTTTTATTTTTGGCTAACTTAATCAGTTTCATTTTGTTACCAATTTATATTTTATCCGGTTGGTATTTCTTCCTCTTAGAGGTGCTCGAGGCTGGCTTAAGTTGTGCAGACATGCTTATGTCTGCTCACTTCCCAGGGTCCATTTTAACTTGATTCATTGTTAATATTTGTATTGACTAACCCCATTTTATGCATGTTCCAGTGACAGAGCTTCTTGACTGTCATTTTTTTTGGTACAAGCATAAGGCAATGGATAAGAAATTGCTTATATTTGCTCTCCACTGAAATAATAATTTACCCAGCAGAAGGATTAAGGCTTTACTAGCTGAGGCTAAAATTTTCTAGATGTATTATGGGTAGAAAATTGTGAGATGATGTTTTACTGTTGGCAGACCCTTAAAGGAAGGAGGGCGTTTTAAATTTGATCATTGATTTCTGGCAGACCATTCTATCCGATCAAATATAGTTCTTGTTGCTTGGTTTCGTAGGGTTTGGAATAAGTTATCAAGAATTCAGACTTCTTTCTATACTATGAGAGCAATATATAATTCTCGTAACTCTAGAAACACTAATGATGTAGGAGAGGAAAATTGAGAGGGAAGAGAAGAGAGAGATAGAAGGAGATGAATACCAGGGCATAGAGGATTTAGAAAACTGAATAGTACTTACTGGATCAGATTAAAAAGCAATGTGTTAGACCCTTGTGTCTTATTTGTATATCCTATAGGCCTGTAACTAATTCTCACCTCCGTAACACTAACTAACTAAACTGCCTTATATTTGTTTATTTTTAATTATTCACATAACAGTTAATCAAAGAAAAGCCAAGCAAGCAAAGTTCTAAATGGAGCTTATGGAGCTTTATGTTATGCTATGGGCATTGAAATGGTATTATCCTAGACCTAGTCATGAACCTTCGTTGTAACTCTTAGATCTCTTTCAATATGAGTCAAAACTTATTCTTTGAAAATTTAGAAGAAGGTGTAACATAAGTCTGCAGTAACAAGACAAGAGTGCATAAAACCTGCTGTTATCAGTAACTAAAGAAAAGACATAAAAGACCCAAATCTTAGACCTTGATTTTCTTAAAATGTTACATTGGAAAAAATCTTAACTCTCAACCTAGGTTTTATATTTTTAGTTCTTTATCACTTGGTTAGCAGAGAAATTGCAAAGAACTTCATAGTGTGTTAAGATTGTGAGAGGTCATCCTTGTTGAAGGTATTGCTGGTAGCGGTGAACTGTTTATTCATAAACACATTCCATTTATATGAATCATGATGAAGATTACTCATTTGCATTTTTGCTCTTTTTTTTATTTTTATTGTTATTCTTTTCCTGGTAATAATGTTTATAGTTTTTTTCTGCACGTTTTCTGGAGAAATCAGAAATCCTGATTTTAACACGATCACTTTCTGAAAATTCCTTTTCTCACTTATAGCCTGCAAGTTTTGCCATGCTTACTATTATACATGCTCAATCTCATAATTTCCCATGCACTCGGTCTTCGGAATTAAGAGTTTAATTCTACCAATAAAGGTTGGTCTAGTTTGTAAGAATGTAACTCATATCTTATAGGGATATAGATTTGAATCATATTGCCAAAGTGATGACCTTATTAGTGGGTAAGATAAGTACCTCTACAAACTACAAGCGCTCCTTGAACCATGAGAGTTGAGACTAGTCTTAATCTTAGCAAGCCTTCCTTTGGGACCTGATTCATCCAAACTTTTGGTTATAGAAAACAGAAAGGCATTTAGTTTTGATTGTGATGCAACGTTTGCATGTAGATGTAAAGCCAAAACTAGGAAGACAATAATAAATTAGATGATTTGTAGTTTCACAGTCCCATTCATTGATTAGGCAGATGAAACATGACAGCAAAAGAAAATGGGGAATAAGAAGTGGCTGCCATATGCTCATCTATGAGTAGATCCCAAACACTTATGTCAATTCTTTCATTGATTTGAGCCCTGTCTTTGACTGTCCATTTTGTTCTGAATACTTATTTGCGTCCACAACTGCTGGCTTGTGTGTAAATAGGGTATCCTTCTCCCTCAACTTTCCCCCCTTTTTTTCTTGTCGAATGGATCAGGCTTTTGCAAATTCAGATAAATTTAACTGAACCAAACCAACCAGTTCAACAATAGTACAACACTACATGATCTGTTTCCCATTGAAGCCCAACATGTTCTTGCAGCCATCAACAATGATGCATGTTTTTCCTTACTGACTTGACCTGGTTTTATGAAGATCTGGGATGTATAATGCAACTCACTTCGTTCAAGCCATATATCCGACGTAATTCTTTCTCAATGAGAAGTAATTGACGCATAGATCTGATGTGGTTGACTTGACTGATATATGAGTGCTTTATTTAGAACTTTTATCTTTGTCAACTTTAAAGTTTACTGTTCTTGAATGGAACCATATCTTTTACCTTTGATTGCTCTGGTGAACTAGATAAGTGTTTTATTCATTACTACTTTCTCATCCGTCTTGTAAAATCCACTATTTTATTGACATGAGTATTGTTAGAAAGATAAGGGATTCCCTCTTATATAATGGATGTTATAGCCAACAGGTCTTCCTAATTATCATTTTCTTTCCCTGAGGAATCTTTATTCTTTGGGGTGAGGCGTATCTCTCTCCCGTCCACCTTCAAGATTGTTTCTTAGTTACTCAGAACCTGGTTCTGAGTGAGGTTCCTTAATTGCTTGGTGTTTGGTTTTAATATTCCAATGTTGTTTGTCATTTCTGTTGGTTAGTTTCATTGCAGATTGGATAGTCGAATACAAGGCAGGCGTGGGGTTTTCGAAAATCATTAGTTGCCTACTGGCCTTCCCTTTATAGTGGTACTTCTATGGACTGTCAAATGATAGCTAGTGTGGGTCCCTGGCAAACTGTTGATTTTTATTTGGAATTTTTTGTTTCCTTTGTCAGCTGTGTTTGTTTTAGTTTTTTCCCATGATGCATCTATGTCTGGGAAAGCTTGTTTGTATATTGACTCTGAAACTTTAGATGATAGCAGAATGTGGTTAATTGTTCTCGTGATAAACTGTTTGGCAGGTGTGGAGCCTTAACTTTTCTAAGCATTCACCATTTAGATCATACATCTTAAATTGTAATACATTAAATTGGCAAACTTTCTCGTGATGAAGTTATTGCAAAAGTCATATGTGTTTGACACACACATTGCAATTTGCATTCTTTTCTAACTGCATCATTTATGGCTGCTTTACTTCGTTCACTCTGATGATTGCATATCTTTTTACTTTTCTTGGGCAACTAGCGGAGTTATGCCTTCCTTCTTTCCAAGTTTTAAAAATGAATATATATATATTTTTTACTTGCAGTTTCTTCAACGAGTGTTTAGCATTGACACACTGGTGAAGCCTCTTCCGCCTGCCATGGCATACAATGCTTCTCGCAACTTGAATTTCTTCACTCGCATTTTTACACAATTCTTTGGTAAGTTGGATTCCTTTCATCTTGTTCCTGAGCGGATTAGTGAATGGTATGTCCAGCTGAGTAATTCTATGGAATTGTTGACCTCTCAGAAGGCTGGGATTTTCATAATTAGAAGCTTCTCAACATTATTGAATTGTAAATTCAAGAATTGACTGCGAATCCCCGGATGCATCCACTGAATTAACCAACTATAGTCAGTGTTCTTGTTTAATAGTTGGCAATTCTGTTTATAGCAGCCATGAACGTGTCCCAAGTTTATGTTCGATGTAGGCAGATCGGTTTTTCCACTCTCACTAGTCTACTTTGATATTTACTGCCTTTAAGGTATCCAGCATTAGGAGATGATGAACCTGAGTTGTCTGTTTTACAGTGCCGCCAAACTTCTGTTATGCATGCACGGCTAATATCAGTTACAGCAATTTTATTACTCCCTCCTATCCTATATGTAGGAGCTAGATAACTAATTTATAGAAATTAAAAAAAATTAGTTCTCCGTAATAAATGTATGTTGGTTTCACCAAGGTTTAAATTGTCATTGGGGGAGATGCCCAAATCGTATCCGGCAGTACCTTGAACCTTAGTAAATCATTTGCATTGCAAACCACGCTTATTAATAAAACAACCTTTAGTATGTTCAGTCAATAGGATTGTGAAGGAAAAGACTTGTAAATTTGTGAGACACATCTAATTAGGGTCGTATATTTAAAAGGTTATTAGTAAATCCCTCAACTAGTTTTTACATTTAAGACCGAAGGGTGTATTTTCTGGGCAACTTTTTGTGCATTTGTGTAAATGTTCTAAACTAACACTTTTGAGATATCATATCATGATATTTGAAAACAGTTATGTGTATGGTAGTCAATCTCATTAAGGGCTAAAGTTGTTGCCCTGTATACTTAATACGGTTTCTGTGGTTTGCTACTCTGCAGACCCTGAAGGCATTGCAAATGCCCAGAAATCCCTTGGCATAGGACAGGAAGAGAAAGCCCGCCGTGTTCGGTGAAATACAACCGAGTCGGGGAAGGTGATGAAGAACGGAGAATGATGAAAAGAACGCAATAGTGGCAATGAATCCTGCATTCTGTGACTTATTTTCACTTTATTTTATGACTTTGTGAACAGTCAAATTAGTTTTGTTTTTGTTAATTCAGTTAATGTAACATTACAAGCTGAGTGGCATTACAATTCGGTTAACCCATTTTCCTTAAAGTGACGTAGTGAGGGAAATATATTATTGCCCAAAGCGTAATGTATGCAATCTTTGGTTGCTGGTTGTTCTCTCAAAGCATTGCACTCCAGGAAACACTCAAGTAAAGGTTCCACTGTTGAAGAATGCTTTCCTGGCCTTGGGAATATCAATCATTATAACAATATGCTTCATCTAAGTTGGCTTTTTGAATTAATATGTAGATAATTTATGGCTATTTTCTAAGTACTCCTGTTGTAATGATTAAAATTTAATGCAGTAATAAAGGCTTATCCTGTTAAGTTAGGTAGACTGTATGAATTATACAATGTTATTATGGTCTATTCTCAATAGTCATATTTTCTAATAGGTTATTAATTGAAGGTTTTCACTTGATGTGCAGAGAAAAAGGATGTTCTAAAAGTTAGGGGTATTATGGAATAAAAAGTTTAATACAGGAGACAAGGATGGCAAAAAAAAAAAAAAAATATAGGAGACAAAAGGAAATGTGACATTATATTTGGGGCAAAATCAAAATTTTCAAATGAATCTTATATTTATAACAAGATGGAGTAATTAATATATAATTAATAATTATTTTCTTTTAAAGTTATAGTCAATATTTGTTTTCTCTGAAATACAAAGTAGTGGTGCTAACCAAAAACAACAAAACAGAAGATAAAAAATAAGGCCTTGAAAAGTAGCGGTGATACCACCCCAACCATATTATAAGCAAAGTGAGCGAACCAATCTGTGAAATTGTATTGTGTCAATTTCATTTTTGATTTTATTGCTTCAACGACCAATACATCCAACAGAAAACTTGGAAGCCAATATATATATATATATATATATATATATATATGGGTTAATATAATTTTCAGTCCTTCAAATTTAAATTTAGACCCGTTTTGGTATTAGTCTTTGGAATTTTAAATTTATGGTTTTGGTCTTTAAAATTTAGTACTTAGCAAACGTTAGTCCCTTACCGTTAAGATTTCCTAAGATGGCACAGACAGTGTTAGTTTAGATGATGTGGATTTTGATTTAGCAACATCATCTCATTACGTGGCATGATGAGCTGACCGGACATATAGTTAAAGGCAAAGAAGCCTTTTCACAAAGCACGCACATGACAGGTTTGAAAGAGAGACGATAAAAACGACGTTGAAGAAAGATAATAAAAGGGGAAAGGGGCCAGGTTAGAGGAAGAGGACCAGCATCACTGGAAAGATTGATGTGACCGTGGCCAGAGCAATAGGCTTGCCAGGGGCCATCTAGTGAAGAACTTGCACCCAGAAATTTATACAGGTCATTAGTATTTACAGAGAATAGGCTAGATGGAAAGAATGTGTTCCCTATTTATGAAAGAATATGCAAGACAACATGATAGAACATGCAGGATCACATTCAAAAACAAGAGGGAAACATATTGAGTGTTAAGGCATATTAATTTTAACTAGTGTCAAAGAATGCTCTGTTTACCTCTGTTCTTTTAACAAATAACAGAGGTAAACATCATGCTTTTACTGAGGAAACTAGAAAGCAATATATAGGTTAAGAATCTAACACCAAGCTTTGTGACTTCTCCACCATGTGCACAGGTTAAATATGTTAACTGCAAATTATATGGAATGATTTTTCTAAAATTAACTTCCTTTTAATAATCTCACAGCTTTATTAACTCAATTATCTTTGTCCATGAATTTCCAACGGCCACCGATGACAAGTTTCTCCTAATCTGACTATCAGTGAATAGCTTTGATGTCTGTGTTTTCTTGTCACTGTTAAAAATCTTCAACGAAGAAATCATCAGTAACTTGACCCACAAAATTTGCAGACTCAAATCAAAAAGTCACTTTGTTGTCAGAGAAAATCTAATCTCTTCAATAAACTAGATAACTCTACTTGGTGCAAATCTGGAAAATACACTAGTGTATTTCCTCTAACTCAACCTTTCTTGCTCGGCTTGGATTTCAATGCTCAAAACTCTGGCCATATCTACATCCGCTTGCTTTGCGTTTCCCTCTATGTGAGCAGTTCAACGACTTGTCTCCAGCATCTTCATCATTCACAGTATGCCAGCGTTGTAGGGATGGCTCCATCCACGAGAACTACTCAGTCGTGAAGAAGCCCATGCCAGCGATCATGATGGCCGTAACGTGAATAAGCTCCTTCCCCCCCCCCCCCGTTCGTTTGTCCATATGTCCAGGTCAGCTGATCATGCCCCATAATTAGGTCATGTTAACAAGTTACAAGCCATGTCATTCAAACTAACGCCGTTTGTGCAGTGCCATGTCAGCAGAACTTAACAGGTTTTTTTTTTTTAATCAAGGACTAACGTTTGTTAACAGATTAAATTTTAAGGACCAAAACCACAACTTTAAAATTTCAGGAACCAATACCAAAATAGATCAAAATTTAAAGAGCTAAAAATTATATTAACCCTATATATATATATATATGAACATTATTATTATTAACGCAAGACATAAACACAAATTTTCGTGCCTGTATTTTAAGAATTTTACCCAAGTCACGTATCACGTCAAAAGGCATATAGTCTTCCTCTTACTTTTTGGCATGCATCATGTGATACAAATTTTCCAGATAACCGCATATAATTATAACACCAGAATCGATGAACCAAAAAGGAAAGAAGCCACTAAATGAGCAAATAATGAGTGGTTTTCAAATGACAACAGAAACGAAAAAAAAAGTGGAAAAAATTATTTTACAGGGAAAACTGCTGAAAAAGATATATCACTTTTGCAAAAGAATTGCTTGTCAACAGGAAGTCCTCCTTTTCTTTTCTTTACGTTTGCTTTTCGGGTCCTGATTGCCAACCGGAAGTCCCGTGATGCAAATGGCAGTCATGGAGGGAAAAGAAAACAACGTCGTTTTTTCCCCTCAAAATAAATAAACTTCTACCTCCGGTCCTTAATATAAAAATTCATTTAATTTTTATTTTAATTCTAAAAATAAGATACCAGTCTACTTTGTCTTTCATATTTATCTATTTTTTTTTCTAAGGTAGTCTTTGTAATAATAGTAATTCTAGCCAAAACACTTTATTAGCGAGGATATTTTATAACAACAATATTTATTTATTACAAATAACTAAATTGGTTTTCATAATTTACTCAAAGTAGTCAACTAGCTCTTATGTTAAAGACCAGAGGTAGTACTTTGCTAAATAAGGAAGGGAGGTTTGCTATAAAGTCAAATGAACATAATTACTAACAAATCTCATTAAAAATGGTGTAGCTTACAATGACAAGTTTTAATAAAGAAAATGACAATTGTTTATTTGTCATTAGGGTTCATTAGGATTCACTAGTGTATTTTTTTTTTTAGACCTCTCCCAATACGGGGGTTGGCAATGTTCCCTTATTTACTACTCCCTCTGGTTTTAAATACAAGACTCATTTTATAGAGTAATTTACACTACAAAATAAGTTTTATATTTAGGACCGGATGAGTACTACATCATGATTTTAATATAAGAACTGGTTAAGAGTTGACTTTGATCTTAAATATAAAACTTAAATCAATTTTGGCTACCAAATTTATAATGTTATATCTAAAATCTCCTTATTAATTGTACATAGTTCTCATTAATAAATGATTTCAATATACATTATTAAAGAGGATAGTTTAAGGAATTCAGGACCCATTTGTTACAGTTACAAGGAGTATTCTCCCAAGAATACAGTGAGCAAAATTAAAGTTTTTGGATCAAACAATAAAGGCTCAATTTAAAAAAAAAATGTAAATCATATTCATAAGCACTTGATTCAAAACTCAAGTAAATAACTAAAACAACTTGTGTATTTATTTTTCCTATTTAAAGCATATAAAATGTATTTTCCAAAGGCAACACTTCCTATTCAAAATTGTAAAATCAATAATTCAAAGAAAATTGAACTCCAGTGAAATATATCAGGACATTAAATGTTTGCATTGATATGTCATATCAAGTACTCAGCAACAAATAAAACCTGCTATGCCCCTTGTATATATGTTCCAGTAGTGATGAGTAATTTCCAGCCAATCAAATCACATGATTCAACCCAATTCAATAATCACCCATCCTAATTAATAACGTGAAACTCAACTAAAAAAGCTTCTTCTTCTTCCTCTTGTCATTCCCAAACCAACTAACATCTCATGAACTCTATTAATTCCTAACATATCCTCAAACGACAGCCTTGTATGTATAAGAAGAGTCATGATCAGAGAACTTATGAGTATTAAGAGAAGATGATGATGAGAAAGATGGCTGTGGTTTTGTGTCTGGTTTTGAGTATGTGGGCTTGGCTAAGTGGGAGAGGGCTGTCACAGATCATCACTAACCCACCACAGCAGCAAGTTCCATGTTTCTTCATATTCGGAGACTCTCTGGTTGACAATGGCAATAACAATGGCATTCTCACTCTTGCTAGGGCCAATTATCGTCCTTATGGCATTGACTTCCCTCTTGGTCCCACTGGTCGCTTCACCAACGGTCGAACTTTTGTTGATGCCTTAGGTATGTACAACTTATGATTGTGTCTCATTCATTATAAGTAATCATTGTTTTAATTATGCATGTATGTGAGAAAATACAAAGTTGTGGGAGAAAGTTACTCTCAATGGTCAAATTCATAAGTTATTTATTCTCAGTGATTCTGAATTTACCACTCAGTGTGTAAATTTATTGGCCCAACTATGAGTAGTTTTTACTAAAATTAAGACAAAAAAAAATTGCAAGTTAAATTATGGGTATTTGCTATTAGTTAGGAGTCCTAATGAGCAAATAATTTAATTATTAAGAATAATTTTTCCACGTTACAATTACTGTAGGTAACTTTTTTCTAAATGCTGCTTAGTTCACTGGCTTTAAAAGCTATCACAACAAAACATGCTATTTTTTTTGCGTATATAAAGATATAATTTTCTTCTTGCCAATTTTTTAAAAAATAAACAAATCGTTTTTTCTTTTATGTATCTGAATGATACAGCTCAGCTTATGGGATTCCCAAATTACATTCCACCTTATTCAAGAACAAGGGGACCTCAACTATTAAGAGGGGCTAATTATGCTTCTGGAGCAGCTGGCATCAGAGATGAAACTGGCACCAATCTGGTACGTGCGTGCGTATATTCATATTTAGGATTCCATTTCACTTCAATTTATCCCCTAGTTTTATAGTTTTACACTCTCTCCTGTCGTAAACGTGAGAGTTGGATAATTCATTTGTAGAGATTAAAAAAATAGTTAAGTTAGTCATTTATAAAAAAAATGTGGGTTGATTTTTTTTAAAGTACTCTTATTAATTATTTGTATTGATACGTAACCACTCTCCCTTTTGATAGAAAGCCCAATCACTAGGAAGAATTTAAAAAAGAAATTATAAATTTAAAAGTCAAAATTGATTGAGACTAAAGACCAAAATAATAAATTTTTCTGTTAACTCTTATGTTTAGAATCGGAAGCTGACTGGGAAAACATGTCTAATAATAATGATATTTATTGCAGGGTGCTCACGCATCCATGAATGAGCAAGTGGCAAATTTTGGCAACACAGTGGGAGAGTTTAGTAGATTTTTCAGAGGAGACAACGCTTCACTAAATGACTACCTAAGCAAATGCATATTCTTTTCCGGCATGGGAAGCAACGATTACCTTAACAATTATTTCATGCCTGAGTTCTATGCAACCAGCTCTGATTATACTGCCAGAGCTTTTGCCAATCTCCTCCTTCAAGATTACTCTCGCCAGCTAACTGTAAGTAACTAATTTATCATTTTTGAGATGACTCATTTTAAGCCTAATAATTCGTTTTTAATTGCCAAATCATCTACTGGATTAAGTAACATCATATCTGTCATTTTGAAGGTTGGGTTAGAAGATGCCATGAGAGTCTTAAACAGTTAGGCGATTCACGCAGCTTAATCTTTCATTTTTAGTAGAAAATGCGTCATTTTTGGTTAGAAATGAATTGAAAGTTGAAACATAAAAACTGGATTAGATTGAAATATAAATCATGTATAGTCAATGTGTTAAAAGTCGGAGCGGACATCAAACCGGACAAAGTCTGATCAGTGGGTTTCGGTTTTCAAAATTCGACCGATCGATCATTAGCGAGGCTGTGAGGTAATTCAGTAGTGATTTGTGTTGTTGATTTGATTTGTTCATCAGCAATTGTACTCACTGGGAGCTCGCAAGGTGATAGTGACAGCAGTAGGGCAGATAGGGTGCATTCCATACCAGCTTGCTCGTTTCCGCAGCAACAACACAAGGGTCAGATGCAATGATAAGTTCAACAATGCCATCTCCTTCTTCAACTCTGGCCTTCGCAGTTTGGTTCAGACTTTCAATAATGGCAAACTTCCTGGATCCAAGTTTGTGTTCTTGGATTTCTATGAAACCAGTCAACAGTTGTATCTCAATGGATCATCATATGGTAATAATTAACTCTCCCTCTCTTCCGCCCCGCCCTCAACATGTCATTATTGGTTACTCTTAAGTTACATTTGTTTGTATTCGTAATGTGCTTGAAAGAATGAAATTTGAGAATATTGTAAGAAAATTATCGGCACTTTGATTTGGGTTACAAATAACGTGCATGATATGACATAGTTGTGGATCTCAAAATGTACGTTGTTGCTAATGAACATAGGTACTAACTGAGGCATGCTTCTTGTTCTCTTTTAATTATAGGCATTTAAATTTGTGAATACAGAAAGCCTGAATTAGATTCAATCAATCACCAAAGCAAGTGGATTTGGTGTGCATTTAATTTGAAACAGGTGAATTTTTCTTTGGATAATCCAGATGTAATTATTTTAATCATATTAAATTTTAGCAATTTTCCCTGAATGATGAATTGGAATGAAAAATAACTTTGAGAAGAAATAATAATATAACTAAAAATTGTAAAAGAATATAAAATTGAATATGTGAAGGCAATAGGGTTACAAAGTGGTGCAAATAATGATTAATTATTGGTTAGAGTAATAACCTATCTAATGCTTTGAATTGCCCTATCAGATATTGTTTAGTCTTATTGCATGAATTATTTTCACTCTCTCCCCCCGTGCATAAATAAGGGTGTTTTTGGAAGTTCTATTTATATATATATATATTGATTTTTTAACCAAATTTTCTTTTTGCATTTATAATTTAGTTATTTATATCTTATAAAAAGAATCCGCAGGAGTAATTAATTAACAAATAACGTGCAGGATTTGAAGTGATGGACAAGGGATGTTGTGGGGTAGGGAGAAACAATGGACAAATAACGTGTCTTCCTCTGCAACAACCATGTGAAGATAGAAACAAGTACTTGTTCTGGGATGCTTTTCATCCCACTGAGGTTGCCAACATTTTACTTGCTAAGATGTCTTACACTTCTCAATCTTACACTTATCCCATTAATATTCAACAATTGGTCATGTTATAATTAATTAATTAGCGTGAATCACCAATGCAGATTCAGATTAATAATAATGTTGTGTCTCAAGTTTAGTTTATGTGGTTGCAATTCTCTGATTTCATTAATTTCAATTTGTATGCTCTTCAATCGTTGTAGAATAATAGTAAGAATGTAATAAGGATATTATCTGTTTGCTTCTTATCACTCAATAATTATTGTATACTTTGATTTATTTCTAGTTCCTTTTCGTTATCTAACTTATTTAACTTGATCCATATAAAGAATCAGCATCATGCACCATTTATTTAACGGTTATGAACTGTTGAGTATTTGTTTTGACTTTATATGAGGCATCATTAGTTGACGATTTGCAATAGTAAAATATGAGGGGAAAAAATAACCATCAGATAGCTATAAGTATGTAATAGTAAAATTAACTAGTGAAAAGTCCTCATTTAATTTCTTTACAGCCAAACGTGTAGGTATCGTCCCCTACGCATCAACTCAAAGGGTCATTAAACGAATCTAATTTGTGGGAATGGCATTTAATTGGAGACCAAAAAAGAATCATGCATATATTTTAATTTCAATAAAAGACCAAAATATTTTAAAATTCCATTTAAGGATCATAGGTCTTGAAATCATCAAAATTTGATTGTAAAATTATGTTAAAAAAACCCCTACCGACCTTCTTCATATTGCCTTATCATTCACAATACTAAACACATTTTCCGCCAATTATTTTTTAAAATATCTATTTCACGCTGAAAAAATAACGCAAATAAATAATAATTAATATTTTCTTTACCAATTGTAGAGCTTATAAAGTTCTGCATACTTTTACAGATCTTTCATCGGAGCAAAGAATACAAGTGAATGCCAAAAAGTTTCCATTGAAAAGTATTGGGCGGACAAAAATTGATTGAAATTTAATGTTTTGCTTGAATTGTTGATATAAGATTGTTTTTACCACATAATTGTCATGGTAGCTGCAAAATTTTTTCTCACATGAATTTAATGTTTGAGTGAATTTCTATAAGAATTTCTCTCGAAATAAATTTTATAAGAATAATTTTCATGATAGTTTCACTATTTTAATGGACATTAAGTGCTTTTTGTTAGGCATGTACTTTGAATATTTCAAATAGAGAATGTAAATATTCAAAATAAAATCGTGTTACTTTTATCATTCCATAACTTGTCATAATTCCCAGGGTTTTCCATACAAGGGGAAAAAAACTCAGATACAGAGTATATAGTAATTATAAGATACATTATATTTTCTTTAGCCTAGGATGATACACTGTATATTTAAAAATTAGAATAATTAAAAACGTATTTGAAATTAAAACCACCTACCTCATACTATAACCTTGCTTCTATCTGCACCATTTCACAATATTTTATTTCCTTATCGACGAGCAAAGCCTTCTGCCATGGGATTTGCAACTGGTCTAGTTGCAACTTTTTTAATCTATTTTCAGAAAATTTTACTTGACATGTAATAGGAATAACAACTTGCAAAATGAAAGTGACTGTTTGCACAATGCTCTTTGCCACCTGTTTAAACATATAATAGGAATTACAACCTGCGAAATGAAAAATTGACCATTTGAATCGCGGGTTTTGCAACTTTAATCTATTTACAAACAATTTTACTAAACGAATTTTGTAACATGTTTTGATGCATTTGCTGACTATTTTACACATAATGTAACAAGAATGACAACTTGCAAAATGAAATTGATCATTTGCATCACAAGATTTGTAACCTGTTTATTTACAACATTTTTTAAATCTATTTCTAGACAATTTTACTAAACGTATAATGGGAATAACAACTTATAAAATAAAAGTGACTATTTACATAACGCTTTTTGTAACATGTTTTAATACATTTGCAGACTATTTTACAAAACATATAATGAGAATGACAACTTACAAAATTAAATGGACTATTACAATAATGCTTGCTGCTGTGTGAAAACCTTTAGTTGTTTTTTCTCCTCACTTCAGGGGTGTTTTAGTCATTCTACGAAAACTTACAAATGCCAAATTCATACATTATATGCGTTTGGTCATTTCAATTATTCGGATGCCTTTTTTGTCTTTTCTGAATTTCAATGAGTATTTTAGGGTTAATTTTCCAAGATTTTCTCACAACTAAGATTTTAAAAAAAATTTCTTTTTACCCTATAAAAATAGGATTAGAAGATTAAGATTATAAGAACATAAGTAGGATTGGATTGATGTGCATTTTAGGTTTTTAAGCTGAACTAAAAAAGTTATATGGGTTTTGGGCTGGCCCGAATTTGAGTCCGTTTGCGTATGCTATTATTAAAGCTAGGTCCAAAAATTCGTTTAGGCTAAAAGCTCCTGATTTTCAAGGCTCAACATTATAAAAATGGGGCTCATTCAAGTAGCCTGACATATCTGAATCATATTAGAGACTCTAGTTATTAGGAGTATCTTTTGAACACCTGTTAGAATTGCAAAAATAAATATCTTAACCAAAGGTCTTGTAAGTAGCATTAATGCTTCTCTGGAGACCACCGGTTTGATTCTACTTGTAACCTTAGACTATTGATACTTACTTTTTAGTTAAAAAAAAAAAATCTTATGAAAAGAGACAGTATATGTTTTAAAATTAAGCGAATATTTGGTTTTACTCATTTTAATCCATTTTGAATTGTATGAGATGAATGTATAGAAGAATTTTATTTTATAAACAGCAAAAATGATTTTTTTTAAGAAGTTGTACAAACACCACTTAAGTTTTATTGGAGGCATGGAGAGCACTGACATCAGCTAATCCAATTGAAATTACCAAAATTGATATGGAAAATAACAAATAAAGACCCCCGAATTACCAAAATTACGCAGAGGTCACCTGAATAAGCAAAATTACTATGAAGGACCCAGTCCCATATTGTAAATATAAAATCTTGACGAAATGTCTGAAATGCCCCTCAGTCAAATTGTAATTTGGTCTACTGAAGTTGTCATCCGCTAAAGTAAACTTGTTATTTCTCATAGTCAACTTGTCATTTGGCATACCTTCAATCAAGTTGTGATTTGATCTATTGAAGTTGTTATTCGTTAAAGTGAACTTGTCATTTCCTATAATCAACTTGTCATTTAACTGAGGGGCATTTCAGACATTTCATCAAGATTTCATATTTACAATATGAGACTGGGTCCCTCATGATAATTTTACTTATTCAGGTGACCTCTGCGTAATTTCAGTAATTCAGGAGTCTTTATTTGTGATTTTTCCAAAATTGATATTTGATACTTGATATCTATGCATCTTTTTTTGTAATAGTTGATTAGATGGTCAACGTTTCTCTCCCACCTTTTGTGACTGGGAGCTTTGACCATAAAATTTTGATAAATTTTTTTTCTATCAATGCAACCACATGCATAACCCTTGAAAGTAGTTGAGTGATGACGAAATTTAATTAATAAACTAAGTAAATAATAGAAATGAAGCCAAATTGTCAATTTGTCATCATACCGTTGTCTGATGGGAATAACAATTTCATTTATTAATTGAAGTTTCTTCTCATAAAGCCGACATATATCTCATTTATCATCAGATTTGTCCAAGAATCAAGATTAATAGTTCGGTTAGTTATTATTGCACGTCAATAATCTCTAACTACAAACTAATACGGCCATATATTTAGGTTTGACACTAAATTAACATCACCGTTGACATTTGAAAGAGGCAATTGATTATATTTTATGTCAAAATCATCACATAACCTAAATAACAACCCGAAAATCTGTATACGATTTTAAAATTTTCAATTATTCAAAGGGAATCAAAGTCTTCTGGCCGTTGGAATATAAAATGTAACCCTGCTTTGAATATATATACGAGAACATTCAGAAAAACAAGTCCAACCATATATGATTAAAAAACTCCGGAGATATGTATGATATACTTTTTTTTTGAAAAAGAAAATACATACGATTTTAACTATTCATTTTTTTAAGGAGTTTAATCGACTATTCTTGCCAGTAATATACTCCTTCTGGTCCTAAATGTTAAAGAGAGAGGAGAAGTTAGCTTTGGTACAAAATGTAGGATCTTAATTTATTTTGTTTTCTAAATTTATAATTTTTTAATTGTCATTATTAATTGCACATATTAAAGGAGGATTTACATGAATGAGATTGTTTCCCATGAAAATAATTAGTAAGGTATTTTAATAAAATTAACACATTTTTTTTTACAAACTAGTTAATTTACCTAATTTTTTTAGTATTTATAAATTAATTCTCTAATTCCTTTGGGAGAAGTAATATAAAAAGCAACAATCCTTGGAACATACATAACACATTCAGAAACATGGCCCAACATAACGTTTTCATATTCTTTCTATTTCCTCTCCCTTGCTTAGTCTTTTTGTCACTGTGCTCCATCACTTCAGGACTTACGGAAATTGAAGCTCTTCTCAAGTGGAAACGAAGTCTCCCGAACCAACCAATTTTGGATTCATGGGTCTCTCCACCACTAGCTAACTCCAGTAGAGCTCAAATCCCATGTTCATGGCGTGGAATTAGTTGTGATTCTTTAGGGAGCGTGATTGAATTAAACTTGAACAACACTGGTCTTCAAGGTAAGATTGAAAGCTTGAACTTCTCAGCGTTACCAAATCTTCTTATTCTCAATCTTCAATCTAACAAACTCACTGGCAATATACCAGAAAGCATTGGAGTGCTCTCAAAGCTCCAATTTCTATCTCTAGATAAAAACAACTTTTCTGGGTTTATACCCCAATCTCTAGGTAACTGTACACATCTAAGTGTTCTCTCAGTGGCTTTAAACAATCTCTCGGGCATAATTCCACCTAGTATTGGCAGATTGACCAATCTAACTGATGTTCGCTTTCATCATAACAATTTACATGGTGATTTGCCGCAAGAGCTTGGAAATGTTTCATCTTTGATAGTTGTTCATCTATCCTACAACAACTTCAGTGGCCATTTACCACCTCAAGTGTGCAAAGGTGGTAAGCTTGTGAATTTCACTGCAGCCTATAATAGTCTCTCTGGTCCAATACCAATAAGTTTGAGAAACTGTTCATCTTTATACAGAGTTCAGATTCAACATAACCAGTTGACAGGTTATGCAAATCAGGATTTTGGAGTTTATCCAAATCTCACTTACATTGACATTAGTCTCAACAGAGTGCAAGGCGAGCTCTCTGCAAATTGGGGTGCCTGCCAAAGCTTAGAAGCACTTATCGTGGCTGGCAATTCAATCAAGGGAAATATTCCTGGTGAGGTGTTTCAATTGAAACAACTACAAAAGCTTGACTTGTCATCGAACCAAATATCCGGCGAGATTCCAACAGAAATCAGGAATGCCTCGATGTTATACCTTCTAAACTTAAATAGAAACAATATTTCAGGTATGATGCCTGCAAGCATTGGAAGTCTTTCTAATTTGGAGTCATTAGACCTGTCAATGAATAGGCTGAGTGGACCCATTGCTTATCAATTAGGGAATTGCTACAGGCTACTCAATTTAAATTTGAGTCATAATGACTTCAATGGACGAATCCCAAATCAAATAGGGAATCTTTACTCCTTAGAAGATTTTCTGGACTTGAGTTTTAATTCACTTTCTGGAGAAATCCCTATTGATCTTAGTAAATTCAACAACTTGATAAGTCTGAATCTGTCTCATAATAATTTATCAGGTTCTATCCCTGATTCTCTTAGGACAATGTTGAGCTTGTCAAGCATCATCCTCTCTTACAACGATTTGGAGGGTCCTGTACCTAACGGTGGCATATTTAATAGTTCTTATCAATTAGATCTGAGTAATAACAAAGATCTATGTGGGAGAATCCAAGGTTTGAGACCTTGCAATATTTCAGCATCACACGGGGGAAGCAGCAAGGGCAAAGTTGTGATATCTATTGTTGCTTCTTTAGCAGGTGTACTACTTATTTCATTGGTGTTAGTTGGGATTTTTGTTATTTGCTCAGAAAGAAACTCAAGAATTTTAGAACAGAATTCAGGAATCAAGAAGGAAAGCACATTTTCAATTTTACATTTTGATGGGAAAAATCTGTATGATGACATAATTGAAGCAACTGAGAACTTTGATGACAAGTATTGTATAGGGGAAGGGGCTTGTGGAAAAGTTTACAAAATGGTCATGCAAGGGGGTGAACAATTTGCTATAAAGAAGTTTAGGTGTGAAGAAGATGACTTAGACATTGAAAGTTTAAAAGCCTTCAAGAGTGAGATTGAAGCCATGACAGAAATCCGCCATCGAAACATTGTGAAGCTCTATGGATTTTGCTCACAAAGATCACACACTTTTGCTGTTTATGAGTACATGGAAGGAGGGACTTTAGCTGATTTTCTGAAAAATGACACAAAGGCATTAAAGTTAGATTGGCTTGTGAGGGTGGATATTGTCAAAGGTGTAGCACAAGCTTTATCATATATGCATCATGATCTTGATCTACCAATTATTCATAGAGACATATCAAGCAAAAATATATTATTATCTGCAAATCTTGAAGCCCATATCTCAGACTTTGGCACAGCAAGGTTCTTGAAGCTCAACTCATCAATTTGGACAGCGTTTGCTGGCACACGTGGCTATGCTGCTCCAGGTAATTTAATGCCATGTCGAACTCTACCAAAAACATTAAAGTTGTAGAAAACTATGTTGTCTTACTATTCATGAATATGAACTTAAAACTTTCTAGTTTCCAATTTTGTTACTTAGTCATACAAATTCATATCTAACTGGACTTACGTACAAATGTTTCAAGTGATCACTTACATTCTAATTGATGCAGAGCTAGCATACACAATGGCAGTGTCTGAGAAATGTGATGTGTTTAGCTTTGGAGTGTTGGCTTTTGAAATTCTCATGGGAAAGCATCCTGGTGATCTAATTTCTCATTTACAATCCTTTGATGATGTTCCAAATATGAACTTCAAAGAGATTCTAGACCCACGTCTATCACCTCCCAAAGAGCAGCAAAAGTTGATGAAGGAAGTGGTTTTGATTGCAAGTATTGCTATTTCATGTTTACAAACCAACCCTTCATCTCGACCAACCATGCGAAGCATTGCTGATCAGATGATTTCAAGTTTATGTTAGCTTGTTCTTATGATTATTCTTGTGTCAATAAAGGTTCTTATGTTCTTATGACTATTTGGAAACCATCATTTTGAAAATTTGAAATGATAAGGTAGTTTTCTTGATTTTAGGGGAGTTGAATAATCATTGATCAGTGTTTTCTTGTTCATGTTGCAATGCTTTAATTTGTTATTAGAGTATACGGTAAATTAATAAGTTAAAGCTATTTCCTTCCGAACACGCAATTTAAAGCCATGTTCTATATTTCAATGGAAAGACCGGTTCAATTATGCATTTGAAATAATGACATTTTTATATAATTGAAAGCTTATTATTTCAAAGAACCACAGAGCAAAATGGCTCAAATGTCAAATAGATCCTTCATGAAATAATTAACGTTTCCCTTCCTACTAAGCAAAGATTCACATGTCAAATATATGAAAGGCTGACTTTTCTGCCGCAAAAATCGATGGAAAGCATGGCTATTCCATTAATGATACAGCAAAAGGCTCAAATGTCAACTATATGAAATCTGTCCCAGTTTGGGAGAATTATTGAGAGATCTCAAAAAAAAAAAAAATTACTAAAAAGTCTTAATAATAAGTTAGCAGCTAAAACATGTTCTTATTTTCTATACTAGAATTTGTCATGACATGATGCTCAGTTATCATGGGACTTCATAGTATTTATCTTTCTTCACTGGGAACTTATAATAATTCTCCCCAGATTTTATATGGCCAACAGATTCAAATGTCAACTACACAAATTAATGAACCTCACGGTCGGCAAGGGTGCCATTCCATAGCCATCAACGACTTCTGGCAAAATGTGTGTGCGCGTGTATACACACACACAACAAAAGCTAATGCCCAATTAATAGCTGAAAGGGCTTCCACTGTAACTGGGCCCAAAACAGTGAGGCAAAACATATTTTAAGAAACAAAAACTCAAAGATAAATTTAGCCAAAAAAGCCAATTCCTCCTAATACAGCGAATCAATATTCAAATCCTCATTAAGAAATGTGCTTATATTTAATACCCAACAACATCTCAAATAGAATTGCCTCTGCTAGGATGATAAATGTGTGTAGGAAAAAAAAAATAAAGAAATGATTTTTTTTTAAACAAGACAAATTTATTTAAACCAAGTAAAAAAATTTCAAATAAAAGGCCGACCCATTACACATGGTTGATTTAAGTAAAGCCCAATAAATTAACAAAATAATTAACATAACATAAAGTTGAAATCAATATACATCCCAGTCAAACGTAAAGATTTCGCAAGATAAAAGAAATTAAATTTACCATCCTTGTCCCTTCGTAACACTGGCCAATGAAAGAGAATGTACAATTTATAATCCCAATATAAAATATTTAAATTAATTTATTTTTTGACCCACCATTTAAACTTATTTATTGGAAGCAGAAAAAAAGAAAATAAATCTTCTTCATTATGTCATCCATGACTAGTCATAATTCATGGGCCATACATTACCACTCTAATAAAGGAAAGGAAAACAAAATTTTGATGCACTGCATACAATCAGATACATTGTATAGTTGAAAATTAGAATAAATAGATACATTGTGTATTTGAAATTAATTAACCTTATTCACATACACTGGCGTGTGTATACATACACGATTTTTTGAGGGTTTCACTCACAAGTCATTGATCGATTCTCCAGAGAGGAGATAGTATTCAAATTTGATGTAGGAGTGGTAGCGCACGATTAGGGTTGTGATTATAGAGATAGAAGCTTCCTCATTGAGGTTATAGTGGTATCATTTTGGGAGTTCTTGGTTTTTAGTATCAGGTTTTTTCCAATAGGCGGGCCGACCAGGATTTTGTGCTTTTTCAGAGTTATTGTGCTTGTCTTGTGTTTATTCTTGCATTTTGTTTAGCTTAGTTTTCTTTTTACAAAAAGGTCTAGGTAAGTTGGGTTTTAAGGCTTAGTAGAACTAGGACGTGCTTGCAACTCTTGGTTTAAAGAGTGCTTATATTACAGAGACACTTATAAATCACTCATTAACAAGGTTCTCATATCAATAGCAGAATTTGGGCTCATGACCTTGTAGGTTATGATATAAATCCTTACAAATTTGACCAATTTTTGTTGGCCTAGCCATTAGTTTGATAAAAGATAATTAACTATGTTGGTATTTGTTTTCTCTTTCATATAGATAACCATGAAGTTTGAGAACCTGCTTGGAGAGATGATGAAGAAGATCAAGATCATAGAAAATATTACGTGAAGTTTTGTGTCATGTTGATCAAATCAACGATATACCAAAGGTATATTAGTTAACATTAATATTCTATATATATATATATATATTCATTTATATGTGTCTTTATGTATATTTGTATATATATTTCAAATTTTTAGCAAAAGAAGGGTAATAGAAGATAAAAGACATAATGGTAATAAAGAAATAGAGAGACATAATTCAGAAATGACTTTGTATCATTTTTCATGTTTTGAACAGTGTCACTACAGGGGATATATATATATATAGAAAACTATTCAAGAATATTCCTAGCTAGAGCCAGCTGTACACAAACATGTATTGTGAGTTACAATTTCAATTTTCACGTGTGGTGCTGTGTTTGGGCTTCAGGTGTGTATATCTTGCACTGCTTGAGCTGCTGTTTAGTGATAGATGTAATTGGGCTTGCTTGTGTTCTAACATCCCCTCACAAGTCGTATGGCACTGGTGTGACATTAAGACTCGACCTGAGTTGCATGAACTTGTTTGTGACGAGAGGCTTGGTGAGAATGTCAGCAATTTGATCTTTGAAAGAGACAAGGGCAATGCGAAGTTGTTTGGCTGCCACTCTTTCTCAAACAAAATATTAGTCCAGTGATATGTGTTTGGCATGAGAATGAAAGATAGGATTAGCAGGAAGGTAGGTGGCTCCTAAGTTGTCATAATAAAGCATTAGAGTTTGAGGGAGAGAGATGTTTAACTCGCTAAGTAGATTTTGAACCCACATAAGTTCACTGGTTGCGTTAGCAAGGGATCGATACTCTGCCCTCAGTACTGGATCGGGAAACTCTTGGTTGTTTCTTTGAACTCCAAGATATAATATTAGGACCAAAATAGACAACAAAACCAGTAGTGGATCGTGAATCTATAGGGTAGCCACCCTAATCTGCATCAAAATAAGTGCAGGTTTAGAAATAGCAGCAAATAACAAGGAGAAATTGGATGAACGTTTGAAAAGCAACCCATAATGAGCAGTAGCATACAAGTAGCGAGGGATTCGTATGACAGCAGTCCAATGTTTTTCAGCGGGCTAGTGCATAAATTGACACACATGATTGACAGCATAGGAGATGTCTAGACGAGTGAAAGATAAATATTAGAGACTGCCTATGATGCTACGATAAAGGGTAGGATCAGAAAAGGAAGGACCAGTGGCATGAAGTTTTGTATTGACAGCCATCAAAGATGCCATAGAGTGAGCATTAGCCATGTTAGCACAGTTTGACAAGTCAATAATGTATTTGTGCTAAGACAGAATAAGACTTAAAAGTAAATAATGTAAAGGCCCTAAGTCTTTAATAGGAAAGGTGGAACTGAGAGTTGCAATCATAGTAGTAATAGCATCATCAGAAGAGCCAGTTAAGATAATATCATCCACATAGATGGGTACATACAGCTGACTGGAAGGAGAGTTAAAAGTAAATAATGAAGGATCAGATTTGGAACCTATGAACCCAAGTTGAGTAAGGTGTGTGCTAAGACAAGAGAACCAGGCTCGAGGATCCCGTTTGAGGCCATAAAGGGATCGATGGAGTTTATGGATAAAGTGAGGGTAGTCAAGATGAACAAAACCTGGAGGTTAAGTCATGTAGACCTTTTTTTAGTGAGGGAACCATGGAGAAATGCATTCTAGATGTCAATTTACCGAAGGGACCATCCTTATGAAACAGCTAGTGAGATGATTAGGCGGATGGTGACAGGTTTGACGACAGAGGAGAAGGTTGTGAAAAAATCAAGACCAACTTGTTGATGAAAGCCCTTGGCAACAAGGCGAGCTTTGAAGCGATCATACCGGATGGTGAGTATTTGATGTGAAAGATCCATTTACACTTGATGAGATTTTGAGAAGAATCAGGAGGGACCAAGGACTAGGTTTTAGTGTAGAAAGCGCCTAAAATTCTTTGGCCATAACCCTGCGCCATAGTGGGTATTTATGGGCTTCAATGACAGAGGTAGGTACAGTGTCGGGAGTGGTGATGGCAGAAAGAGCTCAACATGGGGGCCACGGGATAGTACCATCAAAGAAGACTTTTAGTTTTGAGATGTGTGCATGGGATCTAGTAACCATTAGATGGAGAGGGGTTGCACGGATTTGAGTTGCAGAGGGTAGAGGTGAGGGAGAGCTGGAGGAAGAAGATGACTCGTGAGAGGGAGAGGACGACGAGGTGTGTGGCGTGGCAGGATCTAGGTTAGTGGGAAAGGAAGGTGAGTCATGTGAAAGGGAAAGGGGTGTGGCAGGTGGGTTCAGATTAGAAGCAATTGGGCTTGGAGAAATAAAAAATAGTGTGGTGGTAGATATAGGATTAGGCTGAGTAGCATTTTGAGTTAAGTGATGATAAGGAAAATGGGTTTCATCAAAGAGGACATCACGTGACAGATAAATTTGACCAGATTGAGGGTGTAAGTAGATGTAGCCCATGTGATTTGTACTATAGCCGAGGAAGACACAAAGAGTGGATCTTGGTTCCAATTTATTTTTAGTGTAGGGACGCAAGTTGGGCCAGCAAGTAGAGCCGAAAACATTAAAAATTTGGTAATTGGTCTTGTGATGAAATAGTTTTTGGAACGGACTTAGGTTGTTAAGTGTGTGAGTAGGAAGTTTGTTGAGAAGATACGTGGCTGTGGAGAAGGCGTAAGACTAGAATGTGCATGGGAGTGTAGCGTGGGGGAGAAGAGAAAGACCTATTTCAACAATTGTTCTGTGACGTCACTCAACCATGCCATTTTGTGTGTGAGTGTGAGGATAAGTTATCCGATGATGAATACTAAGGGAAGAGAAAAGTTTCTTAAGAGGGTGAGATTCACCACCCCAATC